CTACTACTACTACTACTACTACTACTACTACTACTACTACTACTACTACTACTACTACTACTTCTACTTCTACTTCTACTTCTACTTCCACTACCACTACCACTACCACTACCACTACCTCTACTCCTACTACTGCTACTGCTACTCCTACTGCTGCTACTGCTACTGAGTATACTGCTATATACTGCTACTATCTTTCAGTTCCAAGCCTTCTCTCACCGACAAGCATCCCACCGGTCACCGAACTGGGCGCCTTGGGCAAGTTGCGCGCCCACACGCGGCTTCCGTCCGGCCAAATCACCGCCTCCACGCCGCCACGCGCGGTGTTGGTCGGGGGAAGGTGGAAGGTGTGCCGGTGGTTTTGTTGAAGGTGTTCTCACCTCCATTTTTCGGAAGATCTCGTTGTGCCCTTGGCACCTACTGTTGCCATTTTTTCCACATCAAAAACGTGCACTCCCGCTCGCGCAAAAGTGCTTGGCTCACCTTGAAGTCGTCCACCTCGACGGCGTCAGCGGTGATGCCCACGTAGGGCTCCTACGACGGACGGGGGTGGTGAACCCAACGACTTCCAAGACATATTATCTCTGACCGCTTGTGAGTCGCCGGCATACCGTACATGGCATAGCAGTGTAGCGCGTATGCCCTCTTCCAAGACATATTTAAAAAACATGGGAACGACCTGGTGTTGGTAGTGTAAAATCCTCAGTTGATTTGGGATTCAGCCTATTAAATTAATGGACTCCCCCAAAAAACTGCTGGGATTTTTCAATAGACAATCCGACTGGGGGCTCTAATTAATAAACTTGGCGTATTAATTCACTTGGTTCGGCAAAAGATCAATCATCCAGATCCAGTAGCATCTGGTCGGCCCTGTCCACAACCACGAGCGATGGGCTTCGTTCCAATCTGAAATGCAATGGAACCGCTGGTTCTATGGTGGATACCATGATGTCTTGCTTTTCAGTGCTTTTCATGCCGAAGTTCTGAAGTTGCCCCGGCCTTTCTTTGGGGGACTCATAGTCCCGATCTTCTGGGCCCTTCGACGTCTGCGATCGCGGAAGATGGAATAGAACCGAACAAGTGACCACACAAGACCACACCTGACCATGAAGTGGCAGCCAGACTCTGAACATGAAAAAGCTGCATAGACTCGGACCGTCGGACACCGCAGCGGCGATCGTGGAGGGTCCTCCACGTCGAAAATGGTCAGGTAGAGCTCTTCGAACGGCACGGGCGAATCCTGCCGTTCGCCGAAAAGCAGCTCTGCAGAGCCCCGTTCGCGGTGCAAATCGATGTGACCGTGAGTCCAAACTGTGGTTTTTCCCGATTCGTTCATGCTATTTTCCAGAGAAAACACGAACATCATGGCCTACCATGTCAACCGAACAAAACATGTGAGTAACCTAAGAGGGTGAGCTTTCCGGGTTTGGACCGCCATGCAGGGACAATACGGCAGTCGCTACCACGGAGTTCGGGTGCTTCTCGGATGGAAAATACATACCCTACACCTCCAGTCGTGCCTCCTCAGGTTCGGTATGACTGGACCCTCCTGGCACCCACCCCAGTCCCACCTTCGAAACGAAGGTACGACTGGAGGCCTAGGGATAGGGAAAAGGGGTGTCCATAAAGCACTCGGACTCCATGGTGCTGGTGGTATGTTGATAGCTGTCATCGGCTTCAGGACCTGCCCCCCACCAAAAAAAAGCAGAACAGAAAAAACCAATGCCCTCCCGAAAACTCGAGGTGGGTTCCAAAAACGCATCTTCCCAAGTCTCCAGTTACCCAGTATCTCAAAGGCATGTCGTTCGAAGCGAAGACTTTTCTGCGAGTAGCCAGACATTACGAGTAAAGAAGTCATGTCACTCGTGTCCATTCCAATATTCACTCAATGATGTCCGACCTTGGCAATAAGAGTAGTAACGAGGGAGACAGTGCCAGGTACGCCGCCATCCCTGGATCTTCCAACTGTGACAAATGTCTGCCTTTTCATCCATACAAATCAGCGAAAAAGCTGAAAATTGTCATAGTTGCTAGGCCTCCAAGTACCTTCTGAGAAGGTGTTTGGGGTGGGTGCCAGGCCAACCGATCGATTCACCCAGTGCGAAGGATGGGCACATGACAGCTTGAATCAGCTCAAGACCGCTGTGGTGGGATCCCCAAAAACGTGTGGCCGATGTTTTTGTCGTTGTGAAGGAGGGTCAATTGCTCCTCCTCGGCCCAAACTGGCCAGTTTCATCGTCCAGGATCTCAAACGTCTGTCGAACACGCTTCACGCACTTTCGTACACCGACCCGCATGTCGATGCCCCGGGCCCTACCGAACATCCTCTGAGGTTCTTCTTGGTTCGTACACCATTGGGTCAAACTGGACCTATGGATCGGACTCTTTGGTCGAAAAACTGATCAACCAGTTTCATCCAGTTCGACTCGATTGAGTCCAGTTCGACCAAAGGAACCCCCCCCCACAAAAAGGGGCCTCGGTGATGGGATCCACTGCGTGATGGGATCCCCCAAAAACGCCTCAAAACAACGCGTTCGGCCGCAGCCCCCCATGTGCCGCGAAGTAGGCGGGGTGGGCAGGTGTGCCTCAGCGTTCACCAGGCTCAAGTGAAGTTTCAAGGAGGAGTCCAGCGCGACCTGAGGCTCAAGGCAGGCAGATCGAAGCAGCTCTGGAGGCGAAGCTGGGGAGCATGCGATGTTTTGGGAGCACCGGTTCCTGCGACAATGACCTCCTAGAGTGTCTCGTGGACGTGAAAATGACCAAGTACTGCTACACAGGATACACAGATTGCTTTTCAGCTTCAATGTTGATTGCTGCACTTTGCTGCAATGTAAAAAAATGGCACCCACAACTCCTGCTAAGTCTTTTTCATATCCCTCTCGTTCAGCCAAATCGGGCTCCTTGCGGATGAACCATCCGCTGTTTCACTGGGAGCTGTTGTGGTGCCCCCATTCACCCACAAACCCACACCGAACTGCTTTGGAAGCACACTGCTTGAAACGGAAACGGGCGCAGGACTCGAACTCAGCCGCGACCTGTCTGGGACTGAAAAGACCAATGCCTTCCCAGAAAGACCCCTGAAACCAGCCATCCCTGGCCTGATCGGCAAAACTTCCAGACATGAAGTAGTGCCTGGGTTATTCATAACCCAGAGCCAAAGTGTACCGGAATCGGAAACGTCACAGGTGCTCGCCTCCCACAGTTGCTTGCTAACTCATCTGGTCCACCTTCCAACATGCATTATAAACTTGGGATGTTGGGGGGCATCTAGAAACCTATACAGCGTATACCAGCACCTGAAGCCTGCCAAGTCACCACCTGCGACTTTTAAGTCGATCTCCAAAAGCCGCCATTTCGGAGACCTGTAGAGTCGGGTGCTGGTACTTGAGTTACTACATAAACCCATGGAGATCGCCCACTTTTGTGTGTCGCCTTGCTAAACAGCGCTCACCCAACCACCGTGCCTCGTCGCGCTGCTCAACATAGCGCCCCTCCCTGCCATCGCTGGGCATCCCGGACGCCGATGGGTGCTGCGGCATAGGAGCCGTTGAGGCCGTTAAGGCCCACGATCTGCGGATGATAGTGGCCCACGTGCTGAAGGACCTCCGGTGGTCGGGATGATGTGAAGCGACCGATTTCAGTCGGCGCCGAACTGTCAGTCGGCGCCGAACACGGAAGGCGGCGGTTCGACCGCGAAGGTGTCGCAACAAAAGCCCACTTATAGATGGATTTGGGGAGGGACTGAAGGCATTGCAAACCCTGGAAGTCCAAGCCTATATAGTTAGAATTGTTAAAACAATCTTCTGACGAGGAGACCCCAAAAGGAGCTTCCTTTACGTGGGTGGTGCCAAATTTGGTTCGAACTGGACTTCTACAGGGGCAGAAGCATCTGGTGGGAACGTGGTGCTTCTTTCCAAGGGCCGAGTTAGAGACTATTTGGACATGCAGGATTGAAGTCATATTCAATGTCGATGGCAAATTTGCATATACTAGCCTGTACCATGAAGATTTAGGATTGGTTGCCTCAGCAGTTGATTGTTGTTCGTGAATGTTCATGACAACATGTGTACAGGTCTTGATCGCATGTGCCGGAGCAAATGCTTGCCTTTGCCTCGGCAACATCAGATCGGCGGCTTGGCGTCGAGCAACTGGGGAAATTGCAGTAGCTTTGGTAAACAGGTGGAAACAATATGACATCCAGAATGATTTCAGGGTGTGTATTCTCCGCACCACGTCAAGTACTTGATTAGGAAGCAGGGTTTCGCCGGCCACAGAGCCCCCATGGTCTTCTAGTCGAGGCGTTCATGGTCTGTCAGGCCATGCCATCCACGTACATGGATTGTCTCAGGTTGCGTGATAAGGCTTTTTCCCCAAACAGTGTGGACACACTTAGGGGTTCTTAGGGGTTCTTAGGGGTTCTTAATGGTTCTTAGGGATTTTTTTAAACATCTCAAATCTGGGTGAGGATGTGTTGCTTTCGGCCTCCCACCCGGCGTCCCGACCGGAAGCTTCAGAAAATCGACCAGTCTACCTTCTACCATAGTCTACCATAGTCCAGGGCTGAAATACAAACCCTGAACAAACCACCAGGACCATCCGGATGTCGAAAGGACTACCCTACACTGCTTAGCTAGGGATCTTTTTGTCGCTGGATCTCTGGTCCGATCCGCGTCGCTGGGCCCCCGGGCCACGTCCACATTCTGACCTTCGCGACCTGACGGTCGGACCGATGTATCGCATGAATTCGCCAAAGCAATGGCTGGTCGCACCTGGAGCCCCAAGGTAGGTTGACCATGTCAGGTAGTCTGTTTCATTCTTGGTGATCAACTGATGGACAAATAATTAAGTCTCTTGCTAATTTTACCACTTGGGGGTCAGGGTCGGCCTCCTTCCTCTTTCCCTTCTAACCAGGGAAAGCCCCACCCAAAACATTGGTTCAATCCTCAGATGTGTCGGGTCGGGTTGGAACATGGACAGTCGTTCAACGACCGTCGTTCTTTGAATATTGGGGTCTTCGATCAAAGAACATGGACATGCATGGGGTCTTCGACGCCTCCAGTTGGTCCAAAACTTCGAGGTGCAACTCCGTCCCGCATGCGACATACAACGGCTCATCCTGACCGCAGAATTGGTCGCGGCGCAGTCACTGCACACGACCCGCGAGACCGCTGCCAAACTCGCTCAAACACCATCCGACCCCCCTCAGCCCACCCCAACTACCGAAGCTTCTCGCATGTGGTTGGAGCCCGAAGCACAAACGAAGGCCACCACCACCAGTCGTCCGAGGGGCTGCAGGTCTCTCCGTAGCGCAGGACGGGAGGCCCTTTGCCCGGGCCAAGCCCCGCAAAGTTGTTGGACACCACCTCGTGTGCAGGTGTTGATGGCGGGATGCGTGCGTGCGCGGACGCGGAGAACCGTGAGGGAATGGACCATTCGGGCAGTGGCAGCAGAACTGCTTGCACTTTCAAATCCAAACGTGCGGGACTAGCCATGAGCTCAACTGTTGATTTTGTGATCTTGCCTGAAAAGTGAGATCATGCACCTGCCAACATGCACCCCCTCATCTCAGGTGGTTCTTCCAATAAGCAGTTTGGCCCTTCAGCGACCCTTTTGTTGGGAAAAGTGCTCAAACGGTCTTCACCATGTTGGGGATGGAAAATCCTGGGTCGGAGGATAACATTCCCCCCTTGACTGTTCAAGTATCAAACTTCCAAAAACAACTTCATGTTTGTTTCCCAGGCAAGTGACACGACCACAGTCAGCGCCTTTCTTACAGCACTCATGACTTCTGCCCTAAGGATCCTTGGACTCTCCTTAGAAGGGGTCGAACCCTCTATACCAAGGGTTTGGGGCCCCTCAAAACCCTTGTTTTGTTTCGGGTGCGGCGACGAGTTGTATCGAATGAGGAGTTACTTTTCTCGCGTTGGTCTTCCTTTACACGTTTTGTGTATACATGTTGGGTGGGGTGTTTCTCCGTGGTTTTGGAATCGGACTAAGATGCTCTCCCCAAAGTTCTTCCAACAAGTCAAGTCTTCACCGCGGGTCCAGGTACGAGGACGAGTCTACCAGTGTTCGTACGGTAGATCGGGGGCCGGGACTTCCCAGCATCGGATGGAAGAAAGGGACCCTTAGGGTTTTGTGATAACGCGGACGCGCTCGAAAAGTGAACAAAGAAGAAAGGGAGGAGCATTCGGTGCTTTCGTTTTGACAACCATTGACTAGCAACACTCGCCACAAAAAGCTTTGCTGCATAGAGTTGCTGCATCTTCATAGACGGTGCCAAAGCCCGCCTCTTTTCCTGATGATCTATGTTTGGATGTATCTCAGGGCATGTACACAAGTGGATGCCATGGCCCCTTGGATGAAAATTGTCCTACAAACAGGTGGTGAACTCCACTTCCATGAATATATTAGGGAGTTTTCTAGCCCCTTACGATGTGCCTGCAACATTTATGATGAGATTGGGTCCTGAATATGTTTACTTCGATTAAATTAAATAAGCATCTCCCACACCCATCCCACACCTTAGTGCCTAATTCAGACTTCTCCACTCTTCGAACAGCTCGCTTGAAAGTGTTTGACCCTGCAGCTGCAACAAACAAACTTGTTGCCAAAAATACACCTGTGGCCGAAACACCTGCGCGTGTCCCGCGTGTCTTCGCACGTGGTGGCAGGCGCAGCGCACCTTGTTCTGCCACAGGGCAAAGGCCCGACCCAGGTGTTTGGGGAAGCCGGTCATTGGCTGAGCAGCGAGGCGAGAGGAGAGCCGCAAGGTACAGCGCGAGGCGCGAGGAGGGGTACGGCGTAGAGGGACATCGGTGTCACAAACGGAGCTATAGGATGTGGTTCAGTGGTAGGGTATGTTCAGTTCGGATCAGTTGATGCGTTTTGATCTCATGGATTCCAAAATCCCTGTGCAAAAGGATCGCGCTGAGTCCCAGGTGGCTTTAGCTCGGTGGTGCCGTTTTGTTCTGCACGGAGGGGTCCTCCGAATGCTGGGGTGCTCAGAACATCCAAGACGGCTGGATGGGACGAGGCAAACCAGGCCCTCCACGTGACTGGTAGTCACTTCTCTACGTTGCAGTCACCAAAAGGACCGTGCAAGTCTGGATGCCAGTTTCACCGTGGTTCTATACGAGTCACATGGAGGGCCTGGTGGTTTGGCTTGTCCCTAAGTGAGTGGATAATGAGATGCAGTTACAATAGTCACTATAGATTCTGAATGTTGTTGAAGAAGTCTGACACTTGAAATTGATGTACCCAACCACCTGACGTCGACAACACCACTTGGCAATTCTTAGTTGCAAAATTCCGTGTGACATGCAAAACATTCCTCGTTCCAATCCCAGGTTCCAGGGCCCAATGTAGGCATATTCAAAACTGAGGTCACTCATGCACCAGGTACGGGTACATGGAGTGTTTGGGATTTATACCAACGGCGGTGCTTCAGCAAAATTACTTAAACACTAAATAAGATTGGAGTGAACTTTAAATAACGTGGAGCAAAACAACGACAAAAAGGACCCCACCTACGTCGCCGAAGGGAGCAAGAAGGTAAGCAGATTCGACCAACAACTCAGGATGTCTTGACTTGAACCCGTCTTAGAGGCCAACACCACCCACAACAACTAGGGTGGATGGCCGGCTCTCCTTCGTGGCCATCCAGATGAACCACCCATCCCATCCTCCCGGGCCGCGGCCTCTTGCACTGAGGGTCCTGCAAGTTTGCTCCACAGGTGGTTTACAGCTGCGAAGCTCATACCAGCTGCTTCTGCACAGAGTCACCCATGGACAACCCTAATACATCCTAATACTATACTATACTTATGTAGGATCTTGTAGGTACTCCATTGGGCACCCATTGGAAGCGCGAGGTACATTTAGAAGTGTGGCGTCATTCTTTGAGTAGCCCCACTAAGCACTGCTATGTTTACTTTAGGTCGTGTGACCTGCTGTCGTCAAAAGACTTCAAGAAGAGAAAACGTGTTTGTGGTTGAGTTAAAGATGCATACGAACACAAACTTGCTGATGACGACTATGACAACATGTGCAACCAGCCAAGTTCGGCAGACATCTTGCAGTGTTGGAAGATTCAGGTATTCAACAATCATGTCCCGATCTGCCCCGATCTGCCACTCTTTTTTCGCTCCACTCAGCTCACTGGATCACGTGCCCCTCAACCTTGGTGGCTGGGGTACAGCCGAAAACCACCCAACGAAAGGGGGCTCTCACCTGGTGTCCTGAAGAGACTTCTTTCCAAAGAGACTTCATGTTTTGATTGAAGGAAAGCCCATCTAAAGTCTACCCTCCAACAATCATTCCACGTGGAGTTCACCCCCAGTGTGTAGAGGGTCAGGCCGTCCACTTCCATGATCGGTACAAAATGTCAAAGTCTTTTTGTGGTCATCCTCAACGCTTTCAGAATGAAACCGCTGGCCAACGCACCCCCTGGCCAACAGAAACAGAATGAAACCGCTCGGCATTCCGGAGACTGGTTTCGTCTTCACTGAGTCTTCTGACCACCCTATCCACCTACCACCCTACCATGAATTGACCTTGTGGCGTCACCCCGAAACACTTGGAGCATTGAATCCTCTGTCCATCCAAACCCGCCGGTGATCCATCCGCCTTCTGTCCCTGGCGTCTTCCTACCGAGCCAAATGGCTGTCTAGGCAACAAGAAAGGCAAACGAAACGAAAAGAAATATACCAAAACATGAACTCTATCCTGGAGCTTCAAAGGGGTGTCCAATGGAGATCCCTAGGTAGTGTAGGGGCTTCCATTGGTAACCCCTTTGAAGGTGCTGGATTGAATCTCAGATGTCCACCCCTCACTCTGCCTTAATGCCCACCTATTCCAGGCACATGCTGCACCGAAGTCTTGGTGATCTCCACCATGGCACTCCGCCCCAGCAGCGCATCGTCGCGCGGCACCACCACCTTTCTACAGCGCACCACGGGCTCGCGCAGGAAGCGTCGAGAGGCAGTGGATCACGGATCTACTGGGCGCAGGAAGACCTACCCCTAGGCGTCCAACAACCATTAATTTAATAGGCTTTACCCAATCAACTAAGGAGTTTACAATACAAAAACCAGGTCAACCATTGTTTTAATGGTCTTTGACTCCCAGGGCTACAGTTCCAATTTGCCAATCTTGATGTTTTGATGTTTAGGAGACAGAAGGCGAAAGGACCCCAACCCCGCGAACGGCCGTCGTGAGGGTGTCAGATTTTCACAACTGGATTGAGAGTAGATGCTACAGACTCCAATCTAAAGGACGTCTTGGGGGTGCCAGTGCCATCTCTGAAAGCATGTTTTTTTGTTTCGACAGGACCGATGAATGGAATTCCATCCTATCCCAGAAAAAGAACAAGAACTGAAATTGCGCTGACAGATATTCCATAAGGTGCAGATGGAGTGTCTGGGGTGAAAACAAACCAGGGCACCGGCGTTCTCTAATCAACTCAATGGCCGCAGTGGGGACTCCAACTGCATGGGACTGCTATTAGCTGCTAAGAGGTCCTCTTCAAAAGCCTGAAGGTATGAGATGGTCACGGAAACCGGGGCCCTGATTCGATCTCCGGTGTTGTTCAGGTCTTGAGATCGATCTCAGGAGTCGCTGGACCAATCGACGCATCCCTCGCTTCGATCTCCGCCTCACCGTCCACCCCAACAAGGTCGGTTGTGGATGATCGACTTCCATTGCAGGTAGACTTCGGGGGGGTAGACTTGATTGGAATCGGTTGGAACTTATCCCATGACCAGTGGATGATGATGCTTGGTAAAGTTATTTCTCTAAAGTAGTAGTAGATACCTGGTTCTTCAAAGTGACCTTTTGATAACCTGGTTTGAGGTCACAAACAAGCCTCCTAAGGGTCACTTATAGGAACCTTCAAAAGGTCTCTTCGAAGAAGCTGGTATATAATTGTTTGCCGACCGTTAAACGGGCAATAGGCCCAAGGAATCGGGTTGATCGAAGACAAAGACGGCATTCCGCGTGACCAAACCTGGATGAGGTGAAGCGCGGCTCCACAGTGAATCCTGGACATGGTGAATGTCCGGTGATGTCAAACACAGTGAAGGCATGTAACAAGCAGCTGAACTGCCGGATGAACAGCCTCGGTGAGGAGGACCCATTCCCCCCAGAGCTGTGATCAATTAATTGGGATATAAATACATTCCAAGATGGGGAAGAAAAGAACGCACAAACCCTCATCACAAACCCGTCATCCCCTGGAAATTCCTCCGTGGCACCGTCCCAAGCCGCCGGCATCTCTTCGTCCAGCCTTGGCAAAGTTCTTCGTCCGGCCCAGCGTCTGCTGCCGCGCCTCGTCGCTGCCGGCAAACCACACGCGCTCGCGGCGGTGCAGCAGGGGCGCAAAGCCTTGGATGTGCTGTCCAGGCACCGGAGAAAGAATGAAACAGATTCGCCAGGTCAGCGGATTAACCCAGTTCACTTTCACTTTCAAATTGCGCACAGAGCAGTCAAGCGCAGCGCCTGATTGACCCAGTTCGGGTCAAACTAATACAATGTTCACCATTATAAGCAACACCAGGTAGCGGTCCACCTTGAGAGCCTCCAAGGCCGACAACTCCTGATAGCCTCAGCGACCACGACCCGCGTGGCTGCGTGGCAAAGGACGCTTGAATGATCGGTCAAAAGGGCCGAATGTCGATGCACGGTGCATGGATTGGGTGATTCTCCCCCAACCAATCGTCAATGTCACATGGAGGATTATGAAGGTCAAGAGACAAATATGATCAGCGTTTTTTGACTATCAATGGATGGGAGGACTACTGTAAGTACTTCGTGTAGAACCTCAGACTCATCCCAAGGGGAAAAGAAACAAGAGGTTCATCTGCTCTAAAGACATCGATATAGCACCTCAGCGTTGGGCCTTCTCCCCTTTCCCTACCCCTGTTGCATCATGATCAATCCGTGATCAATGGAGTTTTTGCTTGGGCCCCTTGAAGAAGTTTGATGAGCCACGGCGGTGGAGTGTGGTGGGCTTCACCAATGGACCATGTCCAGGAGTTCAACAAGTCTTGCGTGACCTACAAGCCTGCCTGAACCGGCGCTGGTGGCACCCTGGTGGCGCTGGATCATCGGAGAGAGCCCACAGAGTTGACGAAACGAACTCCCATTAGCGCAAGATGACCACTAATGGGACAACTAACTCTGTCCCGTTAGTTGTCCCATTAGTGGTCATCTTGCGCTGTCATCTTGCACAAGCCCCAAAAGGGTAGGTCGTGAACTTGGTCGTGAGCCTCTCAGCCACCGATTTGGTGGGTCAAAACCCGGGTGTCCCCAAACCAGATACAGGTTCAACATAGAAACACCAAACTAGGGTGAGGGGTTGAAACGTACTGAGGAGGTAGGTCTGTTCCATGGATGTCCCAGTTTTGACCCATTTCAGAGACCTTTTCTCCAGTCGGGTTTTAGGGTTTTAGGGTTTCTGCTGGTTCCCAGGATCTTCAGCCTTTCGGCCCGAGAAACACAAAGGGTGCAGAACCTCCGATCGCGCTGCCCGCGGTCGCCGGGTCGCGTCGCTTGGTCACGGCGTGCGGCAGCTGCTTCAGCCTCGCCGCGGGCGTCCCCGCGCGGGCGAAGAAGCGCGAGGAGTACACCTGGCGCTTCGTCGGCGCTTTCGGTCGGTCGGCGCTTCTGGTCGGAGAGCAGTGGAGTCCGGGTCCGGGTGACCGAAGCAGAAACGACCCATAAGTCTAGCGCCAAAGGTCCTATATATCAAAAAACAGAAGTCAAATGAAGTCATGTCTTCAGCTAGCGGGTCGCAAACCTTCCGATAGCTTGAAAAACAAAATAGACAGAGCAGTGGTGTCCTTTTGGGAAGAATAGATGGGTCGGTTTGGTGCCACGTACCTATTGGTTGTACACTTGAGGCTATCCTCTCTATCAATCAACCAACTAATAGTAAAAGGCCATCTATGAGACAGAAGTCATGTCTGGGCTCTAGAATTCATATGACACTTCGTTTTTGCAAGGTAACACTCCCCTATGACAAGTCCACTCTGACCTCGGTAGTCTGACCCTGGTGCCAGTCAAACCTCAGTCGGTGTGCCTATAGAAACTGTCCCAGCTTCAGTATGGGCAAAAGCACTTGTCATGCAAGACATGTAACGCTCTGACGCAAAAGAAAAGCCGATGATGAATGTCCTAGAACATCCTGGAATTCAATCGTTTATTCAGGGCAGGTTGATGATCAGGTTAAACAATAAGCAATGAGATCGCAATGACAATATAGGACTGGAGCGGGGGTAGAAGCCAAAGCTCAGCATGTTGTTCTTTGCCCGATGCATTTGTGTGATCTGTGACAAGCAAGGTCAACTAAGCCACTAAGCCCTTCCCCCAATATCAGCCAACCACACAATTGACCAATCCAGTGCTGCTCCTGGGGTTCTGATTTCTGTTTTGTTTCATGGTCATCTTGGATCAATTGTGGCACCATCTGGGCACATGGAAATATGACATGTGCACAGATGATGCCCAAAAATGTGCACCGAAATGTGCACAACGGATTTCTCTGTAGAACCTTCATATTTACAAGCCTCGAGCATGTTTTTTGGTACCAAAGGAAGGTTCAGGTGGCCTCAGAATCCATCCAAGCCACGCCATGGAACTGGCAGCGCTTCACTAAGTCCAACGTCCTCTGCCAGTCCTGTTCAGAGTGGCGTGTCAGAGGCTCGACTGGTCGAGCCAAGCACACACATCAAAGAAATTGGTGAAGAAAGGTTGGGGGGTTCAACTCATGTGAAGGAAGGTGACAGGCTGTAATTGAAAGGATCAATGCATTCCACTGGTAGCTTCAGTGCACCTCGGTTCACATACTCCTGCTGGAAGTAAATAAGGTTGATCAAACCACTTGTGGGCAAAAATGGAAGCACATGAATCGTGTGCAAAGCAATACAATAATTGCAAGCGTGGGCCTCAAACCAGCGACCCCCAGCCCGGTTCACGAACTGTCCTCCTCCGTTTCAGTGGGATAGCCGCAAATGATGTCAGTGAGGAGATAAATGTCAGGGACACCTTCCCGCAAGCGCTCCACCAAATGCATGAACTCGGACACTGTATACTTCCTGGCGCCGGTTGGAGGCCGTTATGAGCTGTCATGAGCTGTACTCCAAAAACAGCACCACGTGCCTGTTGATTGATTCCAAACTTCCAAACAAGCGATGACTGCTATCATAGATTGGCCTTGAAACACCAGTGCCTTGGCTACAAATACTGAGCATTGACTATTGATGACTAGTGAAGTCAAATCGGAAAATCCCAAAACACTCCCCACATGGCTCCACAGCATTGATTGCATCGTTTCGGATGATGACGTCCTCTTCATGGCCTTGAGCACCGCGTCCGAGCCCGACTGTACGGGCACATGCATGAAGCCATACACGTTGGGCCGCTGCAAGGCTTCGACGACCTCGAAAAAAGGCTTCGGCTTCGGATGTGCGGCGCGGAACGGGACACGTTGGGGAAGAGAAAACACATCGAAACACCGAGACATCAGGCAATCAGCACTCTCCGCAGTCTGCAAATCCCGAAGTAACTAGGGTTTTGATTGGAATGGTGAGGTTTAGATTCCTGCATGCGCAGGCAGAGATTCCTCGAACTTCGATTGTTTCTTTTGTTTTGGTTTTTGGATGTTCTTGGAAATACAATTGTGCAACATGCCAGTTCCAGGCGATCGGATGTCCCTGGTTTTCCATTGCCCTTTGGGATGGCAAATCTTGACAGGTCTACCTGCCATGTTCCAACCTTGTCATTAGGCACGCGTCTCACACATGTATTTTACATGGTGGTAAAGGCATGTGTTCAATGAATGTCACGTGCGTAACAGCATGTGCCAAACGAATAAATTGTGAACAATGTTGCCCCAGTAGCGTCCTTGTTACTAGTAGCGATGCCCTTTGTTCCTAGTAGTTTCTTGTTCCTAGTAGTACGGCCAGGAACCCCTAGCAGCGTCCTTGCTATTAGTAGCGATGCCCTTTGTTCCTATAGTAGTTTCTTGTTCCTAGTAGTACGGCCAGGAACCCCTAACAGCGTCCTTGCTACTAGTAGCGACGCCCTTTGTTCCTAATAGTTTCTTGTTCTTCGAGGGCGATGACTCTGAACCACTTGTTCATGTTCAGGCACTTTTCAGACCCCAATTTTTGTTGTTTTGGGCCGCCTTGTCATGGAGTCAAGGAGGACACGTTATCGTCTTGACAGGCTTATCATAGCCCAGCACCGGGAGGTGTTCAATGACCCTTGGTCTATCTATATAGCCATCGTGACATTAACACGATATTTCTAATCAGACTTCCCTAAGCGGAATAAGTTCAACATCGTCCAGACCATCTGTGCCCTTAGCCATGCGACACTTTCCAGGTGCTGCATGATGTAAGGCGGGTTCGTCATCCCAGTGCGCAACATCACCTCATACCCGGCTCCACTACTCGCTTGTAAGTCCAACAGGGCGTCGCTGAGGCGAAGCAAGAGTTCACCAATGTTGGTTTTTCGGTCATAGCCGTAGGCACCCATGTCCTCGGTGCTTGGGTTGGGCGTGAAGTCCACAAAAGCTCCATCAAACAGTGCGGTCTGCCTGAACCTCTTTTTGGCCCTGGCAATCTACTCTGTCTAGTCTGGCTGGTCAACAAGGAATTCTGGGGATGACGCCCCGTGATTTCCCAAGTCACTCAAACATTGCTTGTCACGCGTCGCTTTCCGGCGTCCCGTCACGCATGACCATATCACTCACCAAACATGGGTGCTGAGTCCTGGAACCTCGAACAGCCGCCAGAATAGTAAGTCATGGCAACTAACTACTCTCACTCCTGTAGTTCGTAGCCGTTGAAAGCGTCCCTCATTTTATCCTCATCGCAAGAAACAACCGTTGTCCGATATTCGTTCGGCTGCGTGGGTTCATCCCCAAGCTCGTCAAGAACGAACAGTGTTGGTTATGTTAACTGCCGAGAGAAAAACAAATCGGTAATCAGTAATGAGCGAATCACATCGGCGGAAAAGACAGGATATGGAGAGTCAGAGGCAGAGTTTGCCCCCGTTCTGACATGACATGTTTTCAGAATCCCGTTCTTTGGCCGAAGAAAGGATCGATGGGCTCATTCCTGCTGTAGGTGTTGTTCTTTCAACACCAGATGTGGGATGCTAGCACACTCGCTATGTTTGCATGCTGGTACTACTATGGTGCCTATTTGGTCAGCAGAAAAGTGCAGAAAAGTGCGCCATTTCGAATTGGGCGAGCCTTTGACAGTGTCAAATCGTGGGGACGGCTTCCAACTTCCAACTGTGCCCATCTTACATTGCAGAAGTTTGTCACAGTACTGGGACCAAAAGGTTGGGACCTTGGTGAGACTGGACCTGTCATGCTCGGGTTCAATGAGACGTCAAGGATGAGTCCCAGAGGTGAATTGACCAACTTATGGTAATTCCAGTGCGGCTGGCCATCTTGTGTAAGATCTGACCGCTGTCGGCAATTTTTTAAGAACACACACAGGCATCTATCCAAATAAACATGTCATGGCAAACAAAAAATACAATGGCCAATGTCTTCATCGCAAGACCTGCGAACCATTCCATCACGATGGAAAGAGATTGGCTCTTGAAGGTTTCACCGTAGACCCAACATGGAGCAGTCATGCAGTCATTGGTAGTCACCGGTAGTCGTCATCACTTTCAGAGTTGAAAACTTGAGATCGAAGGCTCAGTCACAGCAACATCACCTGTTGAAAGCTTTAGCTGTTAACTAGTCTAATGAGTCAAAACCCTCATTAAACTAGTTATTCTGAATAACTAGTTTAATGAGGGTTTTTGCTTTTGTAAAGGGAAAGGGAAGTCCCATCGATCATCGATCTGACGGTTCTTTTCAGTTTTATCGATAAGAGCTAAATGAGGATTTTAAAAAACAATTTTCCTAACCAACTTCTTGGCTTTTCCCATGTGTCTATCTTTTTTGCTGGGCCCCCGCTTCCAGGGACCTCCTATTGACCATGCGCCCGAGTTTTCTGGGGAACCCTGTGTTTTTCTTCGGTGGAAAGGATCGGTCCATGGTCCAACCACCGACATTCCACACCTCCACAGCTCCGTTCACGGTCGATCGGACCTCCTTTTTCATGTCCCAGGAGGGTCCGAGTACCCATTTTTCACGAGTCCGAGCCACCAAAAAATGAACCCCTGTCACTCCCTGGACCATCCTGTTTGGGTGTCCTTCCCTAACTTTAGTGTAAGGTCGTCCATTGAACACCCAAACAGGATATAACAGCGTGGTCCTTCTGGTCCTTCCATAGAAATTGTTCTCTTTAGAAAGCGGTTCAGAACACGGACCAATGCATGGCATCCATGTTCTCAAACCATCCCCCCCCTCGTCCTGGCGCCACACCACGTGGACCCGAGGATGCACGATGCGCAGTCGGCATCGACCGCGGCGTCTGGGCTCAGACCGGCGTCTTCCGAGGCCAATTCGATGTGGCACACGCCCTCAGCAACCGCCTCTCGCGCGCGTTGCACCAGGTCTTCTAGCGCGTAGGACCTTCGCTCGCGAAGGGTGGGTCGACGGAGTGTTTGAGAAAGGAAGTTGGCATGGGTTTGGATGAAAGCTCGAACTGGTGAGGTCGAGCGACTGCAGGTCGCATATTATTGAGACAGTTGGAACTGCATGACTCCATGACGTCACGATCATGTCTTTGGAAGATGATGGCCACCTCTATACCTGGAACCCGGACATGACCTCTGTTTTGATAGGAAGTTATCTTTTGGGTGGTTGGTGGACCAAACACGAGGTCGTTTTTGGCAAATTCATGCAAATTCAGCATCCCACGTACCAGAACAGCCAACCGCATCGCGCCCTGGTCGGAGCCGAGCTGCTTGACGCCGCCGCGAGCCTGGCGAGTCTTGCAATAGGTGCCTCAGGAGGTAGGGAGAGAGAGAGAGAGAGGTGCTTCTCAAGCAGGACAAGCCAGGCAGCCAGCAAGCAAGAAAGCAAGCAAGCGAGCAAGCAAGCAAGAAAGCGAGCAAGCAAGCGAGCAAGGAAGGAAGGAAGCCAGGAAGGAAACAAGGCTCCCGGTCCATGCTTTAAGCAGCCTGACCAGCCAGGGCTTGTGATTGAGTCGTGTTGAACTTGTCTCTTTCAAAACCAGGTTCAAGAAACTTCAGAGACCTCCGGGCTTCCTCAGGTATTCAAGTGTACAGACACACAGAGAGCGTCTCTTCAAAGCCAAAGAGCATCCAACTAATATAAAAATCACAACCTCCTTGAACCTCACCAACACCCCAAGGGTGCCCATGAATAGAAAGCCCTGAGAAAAAAAAGACTTAAGGTGTGTGCATTCACCACCCCTGTGGGGTCCTGGTCGATGGAGGCTGGCGCACCGTGCGGTGCTCGGTCGCCGCCGATGTCACCGACGATGGAAAACCGTCTTCCGAACGAAAGAGCACTGCGCCTCAAATTCCCATACACTCCATGTAGGCCATATATGCCTACATTGGGGTGGTTTTGGGGCACCTTGGAGTGTATGGGATTGGCACTTTTCTGGGGAGAACTATGCCACGATGCCACGATAGCCATCCACAAATGCCTGCCTCCCATTGCATCGAAGCAACAGAAGTTCAAACATCCAGCGTTGATGGTGATGATCTCAGTCAAACGGTCCTGCTGTGGGATCGCGTGGAGCCACAAACCGCGCGAAACAAAATTCACAGAGACACTCCATGTATGGTATATATACCGATCAGTTGGGGTGGTGGTGCCAGGGGGGTCAATGCCGGGGCATATATTCCAGTCCCATGGAGTGTCTGGGTCGTTCCCGGCTTCGAATCCCAAAGGCGGCGAACCCGGAAGACCAGTTGAACGAGTACATGGTTTGAAGGATTCGGTGAGACGACGCGTCTAAGGGACCATGATGCCCCTCCGACTGGCCCTGCCGACCCCCAAGGCCGTGACGGACAGGGACCGCAAGTCGCGCTAGAAAGAAGAACACCATTTCGCTGCACTCTGCACATACGCTCCAATCACTTTTGGTACACTTCCTCCGATCATCGTCGCTTCCAGGCAGCCGACATGGTGGTTCACGGGTGTTTCACGAGTGAATCACAGGTGAATCACGGTAAACACCCAGTTGCTATCAAGTTTAACTATAGTCTCTAATCAGGGTCTGCTCACGGTGCACGGGTGGATTGGTGGATCACGGGTGGATCAAGGGTGGATCACGGGTGGATCACGGTATCACCAATTGACGTTTTTCTTGGCTAGAAGATCCTGGAAGTAACTTTTACTCGACGATCACTCCTAGTACTAAGAATCATTGGACCCGACCACTTCTGGAGGGTTTGGACCCTGCAGAACGCAGGGGTTTGGACCCTCAAAACCTTCACCTTTGAGGGTTCTTGATTCTTAGGGCAGTACTAATTTAAAGGTGGTTAGAGACAAGTACAGTACGATCTTTCACAGCGAAGTACGTTCATGTGAATGAATTTGTTATGAACAAGTTTAACGAGTACTTTGGTTCATAGGGATAGTATTGCCAACAAGAATATATCAACATGCTCAGCTCACGAGCAAGTGTTCAGCATACTTAAGAATCTTAAGAGTGTGCGTTCCATCTTTTGTCACCCAAATCTCCCTGAAACCACGTGTTCCCCGCCCAACCCGAAAACGTTTCCTCCGCCGTGCGGAGGGGCCGCGGCTCGGCTCTCCTGCCGGACTTTGGGCAAAGACAGTGACGGCAAGGTAGCGCCCGACTTCTTCCTCGTCCGCAGGGTCAGAAATGCTGGGCTTTCTTTTTGGGGGAGACCCCCCAAAAATGGGGGAATCAAGAATATGAGGATCACAATTCGACGCCCTGAAAAAGGAATCCTGGAAGAGAAGAGTACCACAAACCAGCCGTTGAACTAGGGGTCCAAGTTCTTGTCCGGAACGCATACAATCCAACCACATGTGGAAAAGACTATTCAGTTGGTATAGATGCTAGACCTCTTTTCCATCTACCGGACAACCATTGGTTTTACCATTTGTAGAATGGCTCGGACAACCATGTGTTTCCTCACCTCTTTCATCTCTGGAACCCCCCCAGTTTTTGCAGTGTGGAAGGGTCCGGTCTCGACAATCATTCTATCGCGTCCGCACGTTCCAAACCAAACAACCATTGATTTGCTATGAATCACCCAGACGCGACCCTGGACCCGAACCTATGGAGGGGTCGGACCCGAATCCTCGGAAGTCTGGGGTTTCTCACCATATCCTTATAGGCTTGGTTCGGGACCGGTCGGGCTGTTTTCACGGAGCATCTGGGCCACCGTCTTGGTCCGGCCGAACCATGGGACCACGCCCGTGGGGGACCACGCTGCGACGACCGAAGACGGTTTCGGCCGACGTGGACGCTGTGTGGAAACAACCCGAAGGGTCCCTCAAACTCCAGAGAGTTCCAGCAGAGGTAGAAGAACCCTATAGACTATATCCTATATAGGTACCCCTGTAGGGTCCTATTGACCCAGACACGACAAATGGGACTGCCATATATGCCGATCAGTTGACCCCCCTGGCACCACCACCCCTGGCCTGATCGGCAGTCCTATGGCAGTCCCATTGGTCGTGTCTGGGTAAGGTCACTGGCTACCTCTGAGTTAAAGAACCCGACGTCGTTCGACTCTCCGACTGTTGGGTACCCCTGGTGACGGGTCCGTTCGTTCAGGTCACTACCTCTGAGTCGGTTCGTCGCGTCGAGACCGAGGAGACCGAGGCGGTCTCGACCCGCTGCACCGTCGGTGCGGTGTCCGAGGCGTGTGGGAGGTGCTTTTGGGAGGATGCGTGTGGGGATGCGGTATGGCTGGTGGTAGGTGTTTCCGGAAGTGGTTTGAAGTTTGAATGGCCATAAAACCATAAGGGAACGAATCAAAGAATTTGGAACCAAGCTGCGGAAGGGTGAGCCAAATACTTTGACAAAAACATATACTGCCCCAACATACCGCAGGTCAATGGACTGACCTTCAAAACAATCTCAGTGTGATCGCCTAAAGCAGCCAAAGCCTGAGCAGAAAACACATCACTCTGAATCTCAATCAGTTGAGTCAAGAATCTTCTCCAAAAGGGTCACTACTCTTCCTTTGCTCGCCTCTTCGACCACCTCCACAATGCCTCGGACAAACAAAACGACTCGCAACGCCAAACGCTCCCGACGGGCGTTCGTCACGGACGGCCTTCGTCGAACAAAAAGACACCTCTCTATACCTGGAGCATCCAGTCGAGGTGCTGGGTGATCTCTGATCCTTGCCATATGTTCCAACATCGCAAATGCATACAAATGCAAGGCCACCTGATCCGTCCAATCATCCCTGGGTTTTCCTTGTTCATCCAAGCAATCGCCACTCCCAATACGAAGATGTCACCCCATACAAGCATGTCATGAAACAATCACTGTTGGCTGTCCCGAACTTGGCGAGAAGAACTTATATCGACTTGGTAAATCGACATCTTCTTTTCCTGACAAAAAGAAACAAGAAACATAGCGATCAATCCCCAAGCTACGATCCAGTTGCGAGACTTCCAGCATGCTCACCTCGGCTGGCTGCGCTCATGGCTGCGTCCCGATGCGGCGACCCCGCCCACGGCAGGGCTTGGTCGAGCCTGAAACCGCCCCCTTTGGAGGGACCGGTTTAGAACTCGTGCGGGAACTCCGTCTGCTCAAGTTCGGAAGACCATGATGTTTAAACATGCGCATGTTCTAATGTGATTGTCTTTAAATAAAGGTTGGTCCAATGACTTGTCCTCACTTAGCCAAAAACCACGAATTAATGATGTGCCTTCAGGCAGGCCCAAGCTCATGGCCGGATATGAGCTGGGTGTCTGGAATTTCATGGTACGCATGATCCTGAGAGGTGCGCAACAGTTTTGGCTCCAAATCATCACTGTTGCGCAAGTCCCTCTGGCTGTGTCAGGAGCCCTGGTAGCCCAACAGATTCTAAAGAGAAGCTTGTGGGTGCCTCGCCTGTCATGGAATTGAAACCACAACGAATCAGAGACTGCATGGGAAAAAGAACAAACAGCACATGCTTGCAGGCAGGTGGACTGTAGGATTCGCAGCTGATTCTTACGGACCAGCGCCCCAGCCGCCCAAAGCCCCCAAAGCGCCATCGAAGTGACATGAGGAAGCCTCTTGGGCAATGACTGGTCGGCCGAAGGGACACACCCTGCCAACACCACAGCTTTCTGAAGTTGTGAAGCTTTGTTCACCTGGGCGTGGCACGGGTCTCCGGATGAATGGTCACCCAACAAACTATCACAAAATCACTGTCTCCTCCAAACGTGCTTTGGGGGACGGTTTTTTCAGGTCTTGGAAGGGAACTACCCGATTTGAATTGAATCGAGCGTGCCCATCACGTGGATGTCCTTGCTTCGTGCGTGGGATTCACCCGCCCAGGATCTGACACCGCTGTGACAGCCTTTCTTACAGTGAGCAAGAGAAGTTTTCTAGGTCTTCTCCAAACCTTGGACTAGAAAACCTCGGACAAAAAAATCAAAGCAACTTGACTCAAAATCAAATACCGCTTCTCCAACCTTGCAACTTCTTGGACCCTTGGACCCTTGGACCTGTTGATCTAGTGCATGTTCTGGACCTCCTACCCTTAGCATACTTAATCCCCCTTCTAAACGGTGTCAATGCTGAAGTCTTGTGATGAACTGCTCACGCCTTATAAGACTTTGTGGGAAATCAAGAGGACTTTAGCTTGTTTTCGTTGTACATGATCAAGTCATACCGGATCGGGTCTAATTTCCTTTAGTTTCTATAGTGTCAAACTTTCAAGGAACCTGTCTATCAGTATTAAACATTTGACATAGAAACTCGTATAAACTCTATTTAAAGTATGTGTTTAAAAAAACTTCAGATCCAAAAAGAAAAACCACAGGTCCATACAGCCACCCACCAACCCACCAAACTAACCCCTGGTGATGTCAGCATGCCTCGACTTATCAAGACCGACAAGGTGCCAAATGGAGCCCCCGCGATTCCGAGGGCGTTTTCACGGTGCAGGAGTTCACCACGCACACATCGCAGGCTTCCACGTCCTCACAACGAGTGTACCAAGGGCCCCTGGCCAACCATGAAAGACCTGGTTTTCCCTTGAGGGCAACTGGTGGTGTATAGCTCAAGTTCATCAAGTTCCTTTTCATATCGTTCATGGTTCAGTCTGCTCGTTTCACCAAGCATGTCGACCATTGGAAGAGGTGGACTGGGGATACAACAGGAGTCCTGCAGCATGGGTTCCATTTAAAGTTTTGGTGTCCCTTTGTCTAGGGCCCTTGAAACTTGAAACCTTGTGGGTCGAAAAACAAAACTTCAAAAGAACACGTCTTCAAACAAATCTGTTTGTAGGGTGTGATCACGGAAAGGTGACAACATGCGCTACCAACCCTGGAGACCAGCTTGCGCTGTGGCAGGAAGCCTGACTGTTACAACAGTTCTCCGGTGGAGGCCACTCTGCAGCAGCTCTTCAAATTCTTCAGGCGTGCAATGATGAACAGGCCCGAACTACTACAGTACCAGGAACCAAAGCCTGCCAGGTCACCACCTGTGGAGCCCTGGGTATTGAGCAGCGCCACCCGACCCGGTGGAGGTCGGGCTCAAGGGGCCTGGAGACGTGCGAACTGGAGCCGCCGCTGCGACGCGGCCGCCGCCGCTGCGACGCGGCCGCCGCGGCCCAGTCGCAGAAGATGCCGATGGACCTTCACCGAAAAGCCGCGCTAGCAGCGCTCGGCCTCCTTCGGCATCATCTTCGTCCAGAAGCACCTTCGAGCGCAGCACTCTTTCCACCGTGTGGGTCACAGAAAAACCGAGCTGCCTTTGGGAAAGCCTCGGGTCACATTGACCAGCAAGAAGAATGTGGTTGAAAAGAGCGGTGACTTGGCTGAGACTCCGTGGTGCTTGGCTGCAGCCTTGGTGGAGACTTCGAGAACTTCATGCCTGTCATGCGTCAATCTCGCTTGCTGAGGTGTGCGGGAACCCTCTGCAAGCAGCCCACGTCACAGATCGCCATGACCGGACCTCGCCCGACAGGGCTCTGGACATCAATCTCAGCCCAGGCCCAGTCGTCCACTGTTGCACAGGACGGAGCCGGATCGTGCTTGGTATCCGGAAAGAACCACGCCGTTCTGCAAACTTTGGCGATGTGCCACGATGAGTGTGCACTTCACGCGGTGAATCTGCTATCACTTAGATGTGTGTAGTGATTTGTGCTGTGGATGGCCATGTGGATTTCTTCACATTCTCGTGACCAGTTCTGTGGTGGAGCTGACGTGGCGTGCGCAAACAACATATGATTCACGTGTTTTGTTGCGGATTCTTTCGCGGTGTTCCGTGTCATGTAGTGATGGCAACCTGGTGTCATCCGGCCGGTCCACCGACGCGCGCCATCGCGGTGGTGGCGTGGTTACATTCTGCTTGAATGTGGTGAACGTCGTGGTGCACGTCGTGGCACGTCGTGCCTGGTGAGCTCGGGATGTTGATTCCGAGTCACCGTTGCTTCGCGTTCAAAAAGGGAATCAACTCTTTTGTTGGTGGAAGAACGCAGAATGGTTTTAAGGGATCTATCAAAAGGATTCACTTTAAACATTGTGGAAAAATCAATGATACATGTCACTGGACCTTTCAGTTCAATTCCGGACCTCCCCTAGTTTGTAAACAAAAGCTTCCGCTGAGCTCCGCTCGCCTTCGTGATTTCTTGGCGACTGCAGGAGTGCTGGGTACCCACACCACATCGACTTGCTGACGTGCGACGTTCACACCGCTTCCGTTTTGTCTTAGGCTCCCCCGGCCTCACCAAATTGCAGATTGGGCCGTCTTGGTCTGACCACCGATGTGGGTTGCAAGATCAGAAGGTGATTCGCACGGTGAAAACTAAAACTTCCCTATAGACAATAGTTTCATTGTATTTCATTGTGACATAGCAAAGGACAGATGTGTAAAACCCTCATATTTTATTTCATACTTTGGACCGTAGTTTCAAAGAAGCCACACTTTGATGTTGCATCCGCCAGAAGGACAAGTGACTTACCAGAAAAGAATCAAGTGACCCAGATATCTACTCCCCCGTGTTGACCTTTCCTGAGACGAAGCTGCCCGGGTTCCACCACGGCCGGTTACAGATCCTGCACCACGGTGTAGCCGTAGTCCTGCAACTGTCCCAGCATGTACTCCTCAAGTGCCGACGAAACCAGGTTCGGTGGAGGTCGGCTCAAGCGGCCCGCGCGCCAGTGTGTTGGGTTTGTTTTCAGCACCTCCTTATTGGGGTCTAGATCTATCTTCATAACAGATTGGTGGGAAAAGGGGAGTGGGAACCACCTGCACTTGCCAGTTCCCCTGAGAGTCATGTCATGACTAGGTAGATTAAGAGTCTGGATTTAAAATGGGTACAAGTACCTACCATGAAGTCCTTTTTACATGTTCTGGGTTCCATCCAAGACATCCCGCGGTGATCAAACCATATCAAACCACCGGATATCTTTGGTGGGCTCCAAGTGGCAGAACCATCTGTCTCCCGACTCCGCCTTCGTTCTTCGCCGTTCGCGTTCGCGGTCCGCGACGGGGGAGAAGCGTGTGGGACCGTTGTTGTCCATATCTGTCGGTCGGGTCAAGGTCCAGCACTGGTTGGTCACCAGCAAGGACACCACCATAAGCTGTGTCCACCCAAGCGGTCCGGACCAGGCGGACGCTTCGGACACTTCGATGACGCTTGGATTGGTGGACGCTTTTGATGAATGATCTATTAAGACACATGTTCGGGTTGAAAAGACTCTTCATAGCTCTTCATATTCATAGCTGTGTGTGCATCAAAAGGTGGAATATATATGAATATCTCACAAATCTCAACTTGACATGACAGTGCCACGTCACGCGGATTTGCTTGGCGTTTGCTGGCATGCTCGTGCTGGCGTTTCAGGGGAATCAGTCACCATTTTTGACTTCACCCAGTACACCATCCTAGTCCTGACCTCCGATCCTTTCAGGAGATGTCTGAGACGAGACCTACTCCCTTCCACCACCCCCGCCCCAAGCCTCCCAAGTCAGGTGGAGGGGACGGTTGTCACCCCTTCCATCCCCTTCCGCCTCCCCAAGTGTCTCTCTTCCGCTTCGTGCTCATCCCAGCTGCTCCATCAGACTGGTTGTGTTGACATCCGAAGGTTTGCAGGAACACCTTCTGACCTGAGCGAGTGCTGTGATGGAACATGATGGAACTTAGGCACTCCCAAGCAATAGTCTCCCTGGTTCGACGCCCAAGTAGTCTCCCTAAGTTAGACTTGACCTTGCCCTACGGCTCCTGGCCTACCTCCATTTCCGGTAGAAAATAGCGAGTTGGGTCGCCTGAGCCAAATGCAAAAACTAGAAACAAGTAAGTCACCTCAAAAAAGTATTCCAGGATCTACCATGGTATCACTCTCAGTCCACAAAGGGTTTTTCTGGGCTTTCTGTAAGATGTACCAATGCAACCACTGGTGATCAGTCGTATGATAGATTGATAGATCTACTAAATGAATTCATCGACGTGTTCGTTTTCGCGAGACGTCACTACCTCACCTGAGAGTATCGAAAGGGACCCACTGATCAACCTTGTTTTCAGAAACACCTGGTCGGTTGGACCAGTCCACCATGTGGGTCTTTTTCGCGACCCCCAGGCTAGACCGTTCTCCTCCGCCGTTCTCGAAGACGCCGGAAGACGACGGGCTCGGTTTGGAAGACGACGACCATGTCAATGATCAGTCTACTCCTTGGGCTGGAGGCTTTCTCCCCATTCAAAAGATCCGTCATGTAGCGAGCCAGCTAGGTCACCCGCGCAAGCTCGGTCAGGCCAAAGACGCCCCCACTGCTTTCTCCCCCACCACATGGCCGAACTACCCAAAAGGCATTTGGCTGTGGTTCAAAACCCGGGCTCCCTGCTGACCACTGAAAATGAACAGATCCCTTTACAAGGGATGTCTGTCAACCTCCCATGGTTTGGTAAGGGAGGTTTTGACTCACAGCCATTTAAAAACACCTGTTCACCCAATCATCGGTTTCGTGTGAGTGAACATAGTGAACACCCCCCTGTTTGGGGTTTCTTCCATCATGGGATTTTTCCAGGCTGAACACGGCTTCACTTCCATGTACCTCCAGGTTCCTGGGAGTATACCTCTGAGTTTCACAAGAGGAATCCAGCCCCATTCCCATTCCTCCAATGACCAGCAGCTACCAGGCACCACGTTCGCCTCAGCGGCAAGCTGCCCCCGTGGCGCTGCAGAAGCAGAAGCTGGTGCTACAGCCGTCGCCTGCGGAGCTGCCGTCGCTGGTGGAGCTGCAGGTTCCATAAGTCTGGTCCAAGCGTTTGGCCTACAAAGATGGATGTGTTCGTGCGGCAGTCGATGGATGTGAAAAAGGATATGTGAGTGTGAAAAGGATCGGACCCTCTTATTTCAACAGACATGTTTTTGTTCCCTCCCTCCAGCAACATGGTTTCGTGGAGTTCCCTTTTTGTAGAGAACAATGGAACTATTGCAGCCACACAGTCCATGTCCATCCGCTCCTTTTCGGATGGTCGAACGGAGGTGAGTAGAAACGGATGGTCCTGGATCCTGAGGGATAGACATGACACGTCAAAACCTGAAGTTCAAAAAAGAAAACAGCTGGGTCATTTGACCTCTCTAGTACACTCCCGAAAACTAACATGGAAGTGGAGTTCACCACCTGTTTGTAGTGGAAATGGTCTTCCTGTCGGGGCCATTCTCCACGTAACCATGTTAGTTCCAGGGAGTGTAGATCTGGTCTATTCTAGATAGAAAACTTGAGAGACTGGAGACCTCAGGGGATCAGGCACCATGTCGACATTATCACCTCAAAGAACCTGTCTGCGGTCGCAAGGCGCCTTGCGACCATGTCAATGGTGCTTCAGAGGTCCACTGATCGGTATCAATTCTTCCAGCTATATGGCTTCGTCTCTTTGAGCTCCTCAAGCTTATAACTGCATGTTTTGCACCGTAGTTTGGTTTGCGTCGTCTACCCACCGCCGCCCGTCGCCGTCAGCCGCGTGGGACGTCTTTTTGTTCACATGAATCTACTTGGGATTGTAACAACACACCGAACACACTGCATAGCAACTTCCACCTGCCCACTGCTCTTCGTCTACCCGGTACCCCCTGCCTCTGCCGCCCCCATGCGTCTTCATCCAGCGACCCAGTTTTCAACCGAGCCCGCCATGAGCGGGATGCACAATCCGCGCCTCCGAGAGCACGGCTTGATAGGCCTCGTGCAGCTCCTTCACCTCAACATCGGGACCCAAACAGTCTCAGGAAGCATACTCTTGAAGATCTGGAAGGAAGGATTGCCCTCCATCCCGTGGTTTCCAGGCCCAGTTTGCGAATGCTGCAGCTTTCATGGAGCCATCCACGAAATCAGGACTTCAACGAGTTCTGGCAACCACCTACCAGCTTTGGACATCGGCTGAGGTTGAGCTTTGGACATCGAGTGTGTGTCCAAACGAATCGGAGGAACAACCCCAAAACGACGTGTACACAGAACACACCTGGATTAAATCTGCCCAAAGACTGATCTTTCAACCCGACCGATCGACTGATCGACAACGATCCGACGATTGCGGTTGCGGTGGCACCGTCAGCTTTCGGCCACGCTGGGTCGGTCGTCCAAGGCGCCAGGCTCTCGCTCGGCAGCTCCTGCGTCGGCACCAAACGGAGTGGACGGTCCAAGCAGTGAATGGCATCCCAAATCCTCCAAGCAACAAAAGCTTGGCCCATCTTAGGTGACATGTCTTAGAAGCATAGTGTAGGTTTTATGTGGTTTTGTGTTTTCTTCATCACAGTTTCATTGTTAACCCCTAAAGTAGGTTGTTCTGGAGGTTCATCAACGCTTTTTGGGCCCCCCCAAAAAATGATCCTTAACAGGTCATAACAGGTCCATGTTCAAGTTGATCTTCATCAATTCTTGTGATTTGGTCACGGTCGGCACCCCATTGTGACTGTCATTCAAGCGGAGGGGGGCCAAACCCATCGGGCTAGGGGTTGGATTCTTAGGAAGTGGATGCTAATAATCACTTTAGCCAAGGAGGCCACAACCCACCGAAGTTTCATTCACCTTGGACACAGTGTGTGATTCTGGGTCCCCTTTTTCACATACGAAAAACATGTGAAAAAAACGCTGCAGACTTCTCCACTGCTTGGCCTCTTTGAGAAAATGACGTCCTACAAAAAAGAATGCTCCTCTCCCTCCAACAATCATTGTAAAAGCTACCTGCTTGTATTTAGAAGCAAATGCTCGCCTCTCTCCTCTATGCCCTCCCATGGCGTCCCTCCTCCACTCCAGCCACCCACATATTCCTTCGCTCGCTCCACCTGGAAACGCCACGTGCCTCGGCCATCTTGCGTGCAGCGGCATAGGCCCGCTCGATCTCCGACACATCGGCGATGCCTTCAGGGAGGCCCAGCAGAGCATGGTGCGAGACCACCTCACCTGGCCGAGCCGCCCCGTGTGCGAGACAAACAGAGCGCGGGTGCGGGTGCTGACTGAGAGGTCAGGGCGGTCAGGCCATGAGAGATTCTCTTGGGCAAAATGGTGGAATGACTTCAGCATGTGGTGACTGGATGGTTGGTACCTGTTGGTGACTCCAAGAATGTAGATCTCATGGTGAATAAGACTCTTGATTGATAAACCCGACATTTTACATGACAAACCAGTTCATATGGGGTGACTTATTATTTAAGAGTCTAGAGTCTACATTAAATCATTGGAATAAGAGAGTGAACCCTGCAAGAGGTGCTTCGAACACCATGCGCATGGCCCAAACCGGGTGCGATAACCTCAAAATGCTTTTCTTGACCCTATGACCAAACGGCCAAAATATAGAGCCAAAATGCCCGTGGCTACCAAACGGAAGTTGGGCTCCCCACACCAGTTGGGCTCCCCACCTTTACCGAAGCACGAGTAGGGCTCGTGACATTGGGAATCCCAAATATTGACCATTGAATTCGTGCAGTGGATCGTAGCTGTGGGTACTGTATGAAAAATAAGAAAACAAACTATGAAGATATAAATAGATATAATATACCTACCAATAAGGGTAGGTCCTTTTGAGGTGTTTCCATCTTTCCGGGGTCCACAGGTTCGGACGTCCGAGGTCCGCCGGTCCCTCGTTCCGGCGAGTTCGACCTCGCCCGACTCGGTGCGGCAGAAGTCGAACGGAGCGGATGAGATCGATTCGCAGGTCGTTCGATCCTGACATCCTCAGAGAGGTAGCCAAGTGACCTGAAGAAACTAGCACCGTCACCTGCATAGTACCCTCACCTGAAGAGTAGTCGAACTATCCTCGGGTTCGCTCCCCACCTCGAACGTTGGATGTTTTGGTCCCATCCCATACGAGTCTTCCGTGCGGGGGAGCGATGAGGACCTGCTCGCCCGCCCGACACAGGGGAACACGGGCCTTCCGTGTTAAGCCAGCTGCTATGTGTTTGAGGACCCGAATTCTGAGGGTTGGGAGAAGGGCTCTGTTGTGAACATTTCAAGAAAAGCTCATCAATTCGGACCCTAATGTAGACTCTTGATTCTTGAATCAAACTCCCCATAAAATGAACAGGCATCACTTAAGAGTCTACTTTATACCTCAAGCATCACTGCCATGTTCCTCCCTCTCCATTTATGCTCCCTTACGGCCTCCCCACCGCCCCGGCCTCCCTCACGCCGGTCCACGGAACGCCGTGCCGCTCCGCGACGGTGGCGCGCGGCACCATACGCAGCCGCGCCGCACAGCGCCGGACACGCGTTCCGCGCCGCGGCTGGACACGCGGTGTGGCGGAAGCAGTGGAAGGAGTGAAGTTGGTGATTCACACCTGCCATCCGTGCAACTGGGAGCTAAACAAAACACAGGTCCTGAAGAAGTGTAAAAAAAACAGCTATAGGAGCCCCTTTCGGTCCATTCACCACCTCGCGGCGTCGGTTGAAACGACGAAACCTGTTCTTCACATTCCATGAAGGGGTCCGTAGGCCGGGTCGGTATAAGATAATAACTATCCACAAAATAGCATCCAATGTTCTCCTATCAAAGGTGAGCAGAAACGAAACGCGTATCGGGTCAGCATCTCCCGCTCAGGAGTGCACCTGTGTGCAGCTGTGTGAACCTCTGGAAAAGGTTCAACGATGAACAGCTGCGCAACACACAATTCCAAGATACCACACAGTAACAATTATATATTATATACAAAGATTGCAATATCTCACAATGTCACACATTGATAAATATGGTACAATATATTATATCATATGCTAGTGATATTGCAAGTGGCACAAGTATATCGCATACTAGACTGTAGACATCTGTAGACTGTCAACCAACAAAACCAAACCAACCAAAAGTCAGACAAACTCTGTTCAAGATCTCCAAGGTTTGACACTCCACAAACGTTATTACCGTGAACTGATCGCGGACCCGAAACCGACGGTTGACCACGACTGGAAACGACTGATCGCGGTCACTGATCTATCGTACTGATCCCTCCAGGGGCAGCGGTGAGGAGTGTTGAAACATGAGGAGTGTTGAAGGCTCCAAGCCTATAGTGGTCCCCAAATAGACGACCGTGGCATGGTGTCTACATTTCTAGGTACGGATTTATGTTTCAATCTTTTTCTGACGGGGGGTCTACAGTATGATGAACTGTTGATCTCTCAACACCAACTGTTCCAGGTTGCCTTAGGCCTCGGCAGCCGACCCCAGCGGCGACCCAAGCCAGCGACCCCAGCGCTCACATGGCTTCGATCCCCTGAAAGCCCTTTTCAGGGCCCTAGCCAACACCCCCGAGCCGATTCCAAAAGGATGTCCACCTGGATGTCCGCGAAAAGTGGGACACTCTCCACTCTCCACTCCCAGGTGACCTGGTGATCCACTACCGTGAGACCTCAAACAGGCTTCCCTGTTTCGCCGGTTTCCGCCCTAGCCAAGCCACCCAGTTCGGCTCCGTCTTGGGCCGCGAAACGAGCCAAACACGTCCATTCCCCGTCCCCATGGCCCAGCCCCACTCCGCTCCTCACCTGGCTTTCGACTCCCCAAGCGGGGCGGTAAGGTGAGGCGCGTGGAGGCGCGCGGGTGGGCGCGGGTGCAACGAGAGAGCATGGCGTTGGAGTGCGAAAGCCGTGGGTCATGAACTCAAGGCTTTGATGGGTTTTGTTGGCTGGTCTTTGATAGGTTAGCATGTTGAAAAAGCCTTAGAAAGCTGGTGGGAAACCATGAACTTCACTTTAGTGTCACCGACAAAAGAACACTTCATGCAAGTTCTTGCTCTGCGTTCTTTGAGCCACGGCCTCATCTCCTCTCCAAATGAACCTGTGCACAAAATCATCAATGGTTGGGTACGATGCGCTAAATCAAGGGTAGTTGAAAACCATATGAGGTTGGAGGCCATCCCTCGTAGGTTGGAGGCCAATCGCTCTTAGGTTGGAGGCCGTCGCCCTTAGGTTGGAGGTCATAGCTCCTATAGGTTGGAGGCCATCGCTATTGGGATCAACGAAACAAAACCACCAAGCCTCAGACCCTGAGTCACCCACTCCCGTTCACAAAACAGATCCACCTCGGGGTTCAAACCCCGGGTCAACGTTGGCCGTTTCACCTCAGCCTCGATCCGTCGTCAGAAGCTTCGGGTCGCTCTTCGGGTCGCTGACGAGAGTCAGGTTCCGTACCTTTCCTCCCTCAGTTTTCAGGTTCACCACCCTGTTTTCCACCATCCTCCGCTGGTCTGGTCACATCTCCTCAGTTTCATGTGAAAACCAGCCTCAGTTTCGGTACGACCCTCAGGGAGCGGAGGATGAAAGTGTTTGACATCGTCTTGTAGTGGGAAAACCCTAAACCTCAAACCAGTCCACAATGTGAAAGGCTATCTACCTAGTCAAGGTAGGCCTACAAAAGGAATGGCCTCAGGATCTGTACCCAAAAGAACAAGTCCAAAAAGAGCAAGTGGTACCCTCCAACCATCATGCAAGTGGATGGCATGGCGGAAGATTCCCATTGTCCTGGACAAACAGGATGATTATCCACTGTCAATGTTTCGGGTAAGGTTTCGGGTTTGGTTTCGGGGTAGAAATGATGTGCCAGTGGTGTCTGGCAAAAAGACCCCCACCAGCCGACAGACTCTCCTGGCGTTGAGAAGATGGGCTTCGACTGCGACAGACTCACCGGCGCCGCCTGGCGCGGCGCGGCGCGTTTGCTACGCGACGGTGCTCACGGGATGCTGCGAAGCGTCGTGCCTACGTGTGGAAGACCAGTTGGAGCGGCAAAGCGGTGCCAAAGTGACCCGAAGCATGTTGCTGGATTATATGGACACCCTATCTTTTCAGGTAAATCTTGGTGTCTGTGCCATCTAGTCTGAAAGATTCTGACACCATATTGTCCATATAGACTCTAAAGTATAATCTTTGGGGTTTGGACTCCACGGGCATCACCGGTGACGTTCCCTTTCGTCTGACTCACTACGCGTCGGCCGCCAGTCGTACGCTTCGTTGAACTCTTCGCTTCGGGGTCTTCGCTCGCCTGGTCTTCGGTGGGTGCGAACGAAGGGTCGGGCGAAATGAAAGAAGCAAGGACTGGTGCTAGAGTGCGACTCGTAGGGAATGAGGGTGGCTGGATCCGAATCTCTAGACCGGCGGCAGAACCATTCCCTCATCCCCCACGGAAGGAATCGTCAGAATGGCTGGATCCGAATAAGTACTCTCCAATTGGGGGCGAAACTTCTTCCCTCATTCCCTCATTCCCTACGATCCCTACCAGTCAGAATGTGCAGAACGAACTTCATCTTCGACCTTTTGGGTTGGGTCCGAAGAGACGGAAACCAACCGGCCCCGACGACGGAGTGGTGGTGATGGTGGTGACCCAATTTCAGACCGGGTGGTGGTGGTGAAAACACCTGGACGGATGCGAGTAGTGCTAATGAATCGTTCCAAGACCAAAGATCTGACATATTAGGGCTCCGTAACCCCAAAAACGGATACACATGATACACATGTCTTCTTTCCGCCCCTTTACATGCGCATCAACGCCTCAAGTTCCAGACCCGAAAACACCGCAAAGCGCCGCAAATCGCGCACGAACCGGCGCGGACCATGCGCAGATGCGAAGCTTGCCTCCGCGTCGGGGGAATGCAAGGAGATGTAGAAGGTGTGGCCACCTGAGCCAGGGAGCCCCGTTCGTAGCGTCCGATCGCTCCGTTCGTAGTAGCGATGCCCCTTTGTGACGTTCGTAGCTCCCTGCAGTTGTTTCAGAGATGGTACAGAAAATGTCTTTTTGATGGGTGCCCATATAAGCCTCCCAACTTGGATGCCATCTACTCTACTCTGAAACCAGTGTATTTAGTTGCTTTTGGCATTGAAATCGGGAAGTTCCAAAGACCTCTTTGTTTCCTCTTGATGTTGCTGAACTTGTGGGGAACGTCCTCTTCTTTGCTGAATTCATGAAGGTGGAAAGATGTTTTTGTTCCGTCTCTGCTACTGTCTCTGCTACAACATCTTCGTCCAAATAACTCACTTACTATAATTCTGACTTGTACACGGCCTATAGGTATATTTATACAGTATCCTCTACAGTACCCAACTCATTGAGGTTCGCAGAACATGGCTCACAAACTGGTTGACCCGCAGACCTTTCGGACCCCGCCACGAGCTAGTTCGGCCCCCGCCTTCCGGCGCAGCCAAGGTAATCACCAGCTTGGTGACGTAGCGGAAGAGGAAAATCACTCGAGGCCCAGGAGGCACCACCCACGGCGCCTTTCGCAGCGGGAGAGTCTGCCCGCCGCGGTGCTTGAACGGCGAAGGGCGACGTCCGAGCGCGGACCCGAGTCAGGCCCTGAAGCGATGGAGGGGTCGGACCCGGTCGAAGCCGAACTGGTCAGGGGTCTGGGGTTCTCACCCGCCCTGGTTTGGTTCGGGACCAGGAAAGGGCTGGGAACTCACGGAGCGTCTGGGGATAGGACTGACTTGGTGCGACTTGCTACAACGAAAGACGGTGGTCTTCTTTGTTGGAAGCATCGGTGCTGGTCGGACTTTGCCGTATAATATCGATGCTATATAGGCACAAATTAGGATACTCGGATACACCGAGTGTCCAGGCCTGGCCTATTGACGTAATCTTTGGCAGAAAGACTGGGAGTACGCAGAAGCCAAAACCCATCCTCTTGACGTTGTCCGAACAAACAAACACAAGCGGCCGCGCATGGAACCACCAGCGGCGGTGCTGAACAGTGGATTCTTTGTGGCCGCTGGAGGCTTCTTCAACAAACACCAGCGCACACTGCGCACAAAGTCCTGTGGTTCAACTAGTGTCACCAACTTGCGGAAGCACCAGAAGAGCCCCCCAACAAAAGGGAAAACTATAGGAAAGTATCACCAGCCTGAACCAGCAAATGGACGGCGCCCCTTCCCCCCCTCTCTCCGAAATACCGCCTTCTCTGCGCGGCGAAAACCCCCCGGGTCTGCGCACCGCGTGTTGGGAACCGGCGCCGGCATTCTGCAAGGCCCAGCTAGGCACTTGGGTTCCGTTGGAGTAGATCAAGGCCTCGCAGGTCCAGGAGCGGGGCGCCGGGTGCGCGGCGCGCGCGCGAAGCAAGCACCCCAGATTTCGGCACCCAAAAAAACGCCTATCTGTTTTTGGAGTCAATTGGTTCGGACACGCACCAGCAGAAATTGGTGCGTCTTTTTGGGGCTCTCTCGAAACATGGCACGTCTGGGGAAGAGGGAGGAGTGGGAAGTCTGAGGTGGAATCCACTTCCACACACCGTATTGAAATGGTTCGAATGTGTTTTGATGTGTCTCTTAAAGCCTTGGAAGTAGGTTTGGGACAGGAAGAATAGAGACATCTTCAACCCACCGGGACAAGGAACCACAATTTAAAACATCCCGGCCGATGCAGGCCGCATGCCGGAGGAGTATGTAAGGAGCCTAGAAGTCCAGTTCGACGATATTTGGCACCTACACCATACACTCCATGTATGCCATATATTACTACATTGACCCCCAAAACCACCCCAACTGATCGGCATATATGGCAGTCCCATGGAGTGTATGGGTATTAAGTAAAGTTAAGGGAATTCCCCTCGTCTCGGGTCACAAAAAGAGACCGTCATTTGACTCTTGTCTTGGACTTCCAGGAAAGAGCATCCCCAAATCGGGTCCCAACATGTCCAAGGCGGTGAAGAAAGGCCAGTGGGCCGTCATTTCAACAGGGGAACCTTGGCTGGGTAGACCTTCTGGATCTCTTAGGGCATCGCCTCAAATTGAATGGGCAGTGGCAGATACAACATGTATGGATTTGCCTGCAAATGTTTTATGGTTTCTGGATGGTTGTCTCTAATTACCTGGAAATGTGGACATTCCAATTGTGTGTGGGCATGGGTGTCTAATTGCGTACAGAAGTGCGCTAGGCGCTCAATGGAATTGCTCTCCATCCATCTATGCCTGGTGCTTTATGGGGTTTCAATTTGGAGATAGTATGTTGCAAGATCTTGGGGTTATGCCAGCGAATTTGGAGTGGTTCACTTGGTGGAATGCGCTGCTTCAGGGATTGGACTGTATCAGACCATGATGCATCTGTCGATTCCTCGAAAGGTATGTCTCGGTTCCAATATTGTCCAATAAAAAAGAACACAGCAGCCGCCCCTTTTTCCCACAATCTTGAGCCAAAC